TTATGGAACTTAGAGGTACATGTGGAAACCATGTTTATGCCAAATGGGGCATTGTAGTTATCCACTATGGGAACATCACTTTATGTCCTTTGGGATATGAGGATAAAAACCTCGTCGAATATGGTAACCTACCTTCCTACAATGGAAAGGGACACCCCTCAAGTTCAAGTTCTCTCGGTGCTAAGTTAAGTTTCTTTTTTATTAAGAAGCCTTTATTAAAATTACTCATAAAAACATAGTATTTAGGAGATTGACTCCTCATATGCTTAGATCATAGGTCATAGATGATAATTTTAACCTAAATCATGTGAGAAGTCCTTTAACATGGACATAGCATATGTAAGCACCTATCTAGTTTAGGGTACTCGTAAGAACACCTTTCAAGTGCCCCTCTATTGACTATATCATCATTCATGTGTGTGTATACATAAATGTGAGCAATCCTTTCACAAAACACATTAAGACCACACGTGTTCATACATTAACATAGTCATTCAATCATATTCATGTACATAGCAACCCAAACCTGGGAACTATCCTATCAAGGAACACATGTGCAATGTATAGAAAAACTCACATACCCTTGCCCATAATATTAAACCTATCAAGTCATCCTAATGAATGATATATCACATAATTCATAGATACATATCTAACATGCATAATAGTAGACACAATTGCATATGAGAATACCCTTTCATGTTGACAAAATGAACATATACTACTTGTAAGCATACATGAATTGTGACTGTGTGTAGAATGGTCATCATGATCAACAAAATATATATCAACAACACATTGAGGCAGCCACCCTCTTAGGATCACACTACACCTTCAATCATAGACCACAGAACATAATTTAGCATTAGAGACAAGCTAACTTCATTTTACACTTAAGACTCCTAACCTTAGCTAATCACACATTCATATCGGGTTACATAGGTAGGAGAATTAAACCATCACAAGTAATCAACAACACTTAACTTATCCCTGACATACCCATTCACATGCTCATAAAATTAGCAATACAGTGTAGGTCATAGCTAGAATAGGAAACTTGTCATAGGCTTCACATTGGGTGATCATCACCACCATACATTCATAATTTCATTTCCTTCAAGGTCATGATAACATCACATATATATTTAAAATAAAGTAAACACCTCCACCATAAGTAGACCATACCACACAATTCCATACAAGACTTCATCAACTACCAATACTATAAAAAGTAGAGAGGAAGAGTCATTCTTACCAATTCATCAAACATTGATCATCATTGATCAATAAAACTTTTTCATAATCAATTCAAGTTTATGAAATTATCTAAATATACATTAACATAGGCGAAATCATGCATAAGCCACTACAATATCCTTCTACTTACAAGTACACTACATTACTAATACACTAGAAAGTAGAGAGACATAGATCATTAGACAATTTCCCTAGCATTGATAATCAAGAATATTTCATCAATAATATCAGTATAAAGCAGTATCTACAATTATCTTTACATAAAAGAATCCTTCAATCATGCACTTGTCGAGATTACACTGAAGGCTATGCATTAACATTCAATAAGAAGTAGAGATCAAGTTCTTCAAACATCAATTAAAATTGATCCATTATCACATAATTTATCATCAATAAACATACTAGACAGTATATATAGAAATTTCACATGCTAGAATCATAATTCAATTAAGATAAGTACAAGATCACAAATCCCACACATAGGTTAAATCGTGAGTTTAAGGGAACATAATTTCATCATGCAATTGGATTGAAATTCATGTTACAATCAACATATTAACATCACGTCATAATGAGGAAGCCTTTAAAAACGTTTTGAGAAAGAACCCAAGGCTAGATTGAAGAAGAAGAGGTTTGATCATGAATTTGCATTGAAAAACATTGACAGGAACTCCCTAGATGGAAGATTAACTAGATATGAAGGATAACCATACCTTAATGTACAATAAGTACTCTAAAACTTTATGAAGAACCCATTTAAATCAAGCTCCAAGTTGTTCTTGAGCTTCACCATCAATGGAGGTTCTAGAAGAGTTTGGTTTGGGAGGGAAGTCTAATTTTTGTGAATTGAATAGGGAATAGTCTAGTCGCGTTTTTTATCACTTAAATACACCAAAAATTAATAAAATGAACTAACTAGGGTCATGTTATAATGTGGAATGAATTTCTTTCACCCCTTAATGAAGCAACGTTCAAGCAGTAAAGTTGCAGACTGCATCGATGGGCACAGTTGATGGGGCATTATCTGGTCGACGAGCTGTCCTATTGCTCTATCATTTTTAAATTCAATAGGTTAGTGGGAGGCTAATATTACATGTTCAGTATTGAGTGATGACTCCCATCGACGGGGCGTCAATTGAGCTTGTCAATTGACACTACCAAGGCAGTGTCTCGACAGCCTTTGGGTCCTCCTTGATGGCCTTTTGCGGGGACCGTGGGGAGTCATACCCGAACATTTTCAATGTAAATATGAACCTTAACAAGTTAAGGACCTTCCACATAATTTTCACCCAAAAAAAATACACGCAACACGTCCAAACATGCTAGGCACACTCAAGACACACACATGCACGAAGGGCTAACCTTCGAATGTCTTGTACGTTCTTGGACGTTTAAGCTCTAAGATTCATGACACTTAACATACTACCTATAAAACCGTTGTTAATCATATAAGGAATTCATAAGCCAATGAAACATATAGGCACATAAAAACATCTAAGGCCTCTTGGTGACTAGTTGTGGAACGTCTTAGTCGTCTATTGACGTCTGACTTCCAAATTACTTCAAATAACTGATGCATACTTTAAAACACTTAATTAACATGTTAAAAAACTTATAATAACATGTGAGGCTTAGACACCCTAATTCATTTTGGGGGTCTTACAACTTACCATGTACCGGTTCCTTCAACTCCATCAATAGAGGATCAAGATGTTGCTTAAATTTCACCTCAACCTCTAATAATGAATCGGAGTTATGATGGACCATGAAAATACTATTTGGATAATCTCCTAACCGCACACCTAAATGATCCAACATATGAACATCTTTCAAAAGTTCTTTCTTCTCTTCTTCCATATGAGACACACTACGCTTAGTCATATGACTAAAAGCATCTACAACCACATTGGCCTTGCTGGGGTGGTAAAGGACACTCATGTCATAATCCTTTAATTTTTTACCATATTCTCTGTCGGAGATTCAAATACTTTCATGTTAACACATATTAAAGACTTTTATGGTCAGTAAACACATCAACATGCACACTATACAAGTAGTGTCTCCATATTTTCAAGGCAAAGACTACAATAGCTAACTAAAGTTCATGAGTCGGATAATTATTCTCATGAACTTTGAGTTGCCTAGAATTATAAGATATCACCTTGCCATGTTTCATAATGACAGATCCCAAGCCCACTCGGGAAGCGTCACAATACACTTAAATCCTTCATTGCCTTCCGGTAAGGTCAATACCGGATCGGAGGTAACATTATCTTTCAACTCTTAAAAACATTTTTCAAAATATTACAAACACTAAAAATTCACCTTCTATTGGGTCAAATATCTCAAAGGAGAAGCAATGGACAAAAATCCATCCACAAACCTTCTATAGTACCCGGATAGACCCAAGAAGATTCTTATGTCGGTGGGAGTCAAAGGTCTAGGCCAATTTCTACCCATATCTGTCTTCTTTGTATCAACCTATACACCCTCATCAGAGATAACATGGCCAAGAAAAGCAACTGATCTTAACCAAAATTCACACTTACTAAATTTTGCATAAAGTTAGTGTTTTTTGAGGACTTACAAGGCCAATCTCAAATGACTGTCATGCTCATTTTAATTCTTGGAGTATATCAAAAAATCATCAATGAACACAATCACAAATTAGTCGAGGTACTCTCGGAAAACTTTATTCATTAGGTTATAAACGCCACCGGGTCATTTGTTAGCCCGAAAGACATAACTAGAAATTCATAGTGACCAAATCTAGTTCGAAAAGCTATTTTGGGAATATCTTCACCTCTGACCCTAAGTTGGTGGTATCCTGACCTTAAGTCAATTTTGGAAAAGTAGATAGCCCCTTGGAGTTGATCAAATATATCATCAACCCAACAGACAAGATATTTGTTCTTTATGATGACCTTGTTGAGTTGGCGATAATCAATGCACATTCTAAGGGACCCATCCTTATTTCTTGCAAACAAGACCGGAGCACCCCATGGAGAAATACTAGGTTGAATGAAACCTTGTCTAGTAAATCTTTGAGTTGGAGCTTCAACTCTTTCAATTTGGACGAGCCACCCGATATGGAAGAATCGAAATGGGATTCGTATCCGGTAACAGGTCAATGCCAAAGTCAATTTTCCATTTGGGAGGAATTCCTCAAAGGTCATTAGGAAAAACCTCCGTGAATTCCCTGACTACAGGGACTGACTCAATAGAAGGAGTTTCACATTCTTGATCTTTAACCCTCACTACATGGTATAGACAACCCTTGGCTATCATCTTACAAGCCTTCAAGAAAGAAATAATTTGACCCCTTGGCATAGATTTTCGTCCCTTCCACTCTTAAATGGGTTCATTTAGGAATCGAAACTTCACTACCTCGTTCTACAATCTATGGAATCAAAACAAGCATCAAGCCAATCCATACCCAATATGATATTAAAATCAAGCATGTCAAGTTCTACCAAATCAACAAGGGTAACTCTATTGGGAAGCATTATAGGACATTCCCTCTAGACACTCTTTGCAACCACAGAGTCACCTATAGGAGTACAAATTGAAAAGGGTTCAATCAAAACATCGAGAAGTACATCAAACTTTCTACCTACCAAATGTGTAACAAAAGAAAGGGTAGAACCTTGATAAATCAAAGAATAAAAATTAACAAAAAAGACTTGTAACATACCAGTTATAACATTGGGAGAGCTCTCTTGTTCTCCTCTAGCCTTGAGTGCTTAAAAATTCTTCATTTTTGGAGCTTCGGAGCTAGGAACTCTTGATAGATCTTGGATATTCCCCTTTACTTGATTCCTCACATTAGGAAAATCTTCCACCATATGGTAACCTATGACACAACCATAGCAACTTTTAGTTCCAACAAGGTATTCACCCACGTGTTTCTTACCACACATACCACAAGTTGGTCTTTCTCTTGGTGGATCAACATTTCTCCCCTTTTGAGGTTTAGGATTAGACACCCTATCATTATGAGTCTTGAAGAGATTTGAAGAAACCTGGTTTGATAACCTCTTATTGAACTTAGGCTTGTCTTGAGTATCAAACCTACTCTTGGAAGAACCACTTTCAAAAGACCTTGCCTTCTTAGCTTCTCTATTCCTCTTCCTTAGACGACTCTCCTCTATTTGTTGAGCATGAACCATAAACCTAGGAAGATCCATATTTTCATAACGCATAGTCGCACGACATTCTTTTTCAAGCTCTTCAAACACCCTCATTACGTAACAGATCATTTCATCCCTAGCATTGGAAACTATAGAGAAAGTATATTTGGAAAGCTTAATGAACTTTATGCGATATTGGTTAACACTCATACCTTCTTGATGGAGGTTAATGAACTCGTCTGACTTATCTTCCCTTTGCTTCCTTGGGAAGAATCTGTCAAGAAATGCCTTTTTGAAAATCTCCCAAGTTATGGGACCACCTCCTAAAGCTCTACTATCCTTCCATTGATTGTACCACGTTTGAGCTACACCCTTGGGTTGATAGGCATCAAGCTCAGCCTTTTCAGTAGTACTCACACCCATAGAAAAAAGGTTTTATAGACTTCATCAAGGAAATCTTGGGGGTCTTCATCAAATCTTGATCCAAGGAAAATAGGAGTATTCATTTTCGTGAAATCCCTCTGATGGCTAGCCATAGTACTAGCATGTTGGTTCTCTTGAGGAATAACCTCCCTGTTTGCTTGTGTCGTGATGGCTTGAGCTTTAGTAGTGATGTCTTGGTCCATTTGGAACAGGGCTTCCCTACCTCACCGTCCATCATGGCCGGATGATTGACCGTAACTTGATCATTTGCAGCACCTTGCACTTGAGGAGGAACTTGATTTACTTGAAAGTAGCTCAAGCATTAGCAATCTCTTCTCCTACTCTTCTTGCGGATATCATTCTTGTGTTTATTGCCTATAACCACAAGAAAGGGATTAGATACTAAAAGACACATAGTGTCCACAACTCTACAGGCATGACACAGGATTACCAAGAAAGGAGAATTTTCCTATTCATAACATAGCCTCTCATCCATAATTATGGCGCGATTCAGAACCATGAACAAGACACTATATAGATGTGGTTTTAGTGAGACACTGACCGAAGGTTATTTAGCCCCATGCTCTGATACCAAGTTTGTCATGACTAGAGAGCCCCCCAGTTGCGACCGGCGTCGTTGTCTTCTCGGAGGACTCAAACAAGCCGTTAACATTTGTCATAATATTTCATTAGTTAAAAATGCAAAAAAATTAAAAATTTTACATATACTAAATGAGGTATACTTAAAACTCTCACATAGAAGATTATTTAGGCTTTTCTTATAGCAATATGTTAACATGCATACGAAAGTCTAAAAACTGTTTCACATAAAAACCATCTAAAGAGTACGAGTCTTGGACTTAGCCAATACAAAGTCAATATGCCATATAGGCACTACTACAATAGAACACAAATGATAAAAGGAAATAAAGAGTATCTCCTAAACCTATAAAAGTCTTCATATGCTAGAATAACAAAAAGATAGCATATCCGAACATGAGAACCTACCAACACTTGGAGAAAGGGTTCCAAGCTTCTTCAATCGACCTTCTTAATATTTCATGGCCGGACCCTACATTTGTATTTATATAAAGTAAGGGGTTAGTGCGCCACATGTACTAAGTATGGGTATATTAACATACACATTTAAGGGCATTCATGGAAAGGACCATTTATTTTGAAAGCATGCTAAGTCATTTGAAAACCTTTAATGGACATATAAGACAGAATATACAAGATAGGGATCACAACAAAATAAATCATAGTCATAACCAAAGACATATCATCATAAAGTAATATTAACATTTCATGTTCATTAAATCATATAACATAACATACAAGACAGTTATCAACGATCCCATCCCAATCCTACAAGTGCAATGATCATGTGAAGCCCCATAACCCAACATACTTAAGTAAACAATATAGGAGACCATAATTAATGTTTTGCTTCATACATCTTATAACATATGTATTCATCATCACATATAACAACATGAACCATTTCGTGTTCATTAACATAGTCAACATCATATAAGAGAAACATCACATACCATAAGCATTATACATTTCATATTCATATTACATGAGGAATCTCCTAGTACTTCCTTTAGAGTCAACTTGTGCAATGTCTCATACGCTTACCTATACTAAGTAGACTCCTTAAGTCTCCTAGTCAATGTTCATTTACTTGTATTTCATTGTAGTTTGGGGGAACAATCTCCTTAACTGACAATCGACAATGTGAGCTAAACATAAAATCCGGTGCCATGAAACCTAACACCGAAAGAAGGTGGTCTACCGGACAAAGTAGATACAAAACATGAACATAATATTCTAGGTGGATCCACTAGCTAGGATTCCTATGGTGGCAATATAGTCCAAAAACTAGGAGATATATTCGCATAGTTCCACATTACGTGGAAGACTCTATATCATGAGAGTCATAGTGAACCTACCTTCCAACTTAGGAAGGGATACCTCTCATATGAAGTTCATTAGTGCTAAGATAAACTCCCTTTGTGAATAACCTTTAACTCATCATTTATTCATAAATCTTATCATAGGTCATAGGAGATTAACTCTTCATATGAACATGATTATAATATCTTTGGGTTTAGATGAGAATTATTTTCATCACAACCTTCATACGTGAGGTTAACATATCATAATCATAGTGCATAAGGCATACAAGATAAACATCATCAACTTGCATTACCATATTTTTACCATGATTTCGCATTTAAAATATTTATATCCCAACATATATACATAGAAACATCATACATACTTCAATTGCATAGAAACATCATTTATAGGCTAACATAAACATAATAGAGTACTTACAACTTTAGAAGACTTACCTATTGCTTCCACGAACCATCATCAAGAAGTTACGTTCAATTTACAACAATCATCCAACAACATAGTAAAATACTCAATGACATAACCAATACCAACCCTTCAAGTCATATACAAGACAATTTCATAGTTAAGGATAATGGAAAAGGGTCATTAAAGAGTTCATTCAATCTATAGTTTCAATCCCACGTTTTCATGTTATGAAGTGATAGATATAACCCAATCAAAACCATTATTTAGAGAAGGAACATGCTTCACGCGAAAATCAAACATTACAAACCAATTACCAATAATACATACTTAATTAACCATATAAAATTTTTACTTTTCATAATTATTCATAAATCTTGAGTTAGGAAGAAAACCCTTTCTATAGAGTAAAAACCCTAGGATTTGAATTTTTCAAAATAATCTTTGAAAGGACCTCTCGGGGAAGGAATTCCAAGATTTAAGAACCCATACCTTATTGACGAATATTCCACAAATTATGAATGAAAATTTTGAAGTCTTCTTCTTCCTTATGTTTTTCTTGTTCTTCAATGGAGTTTGAAAAGAGTTAGTTCATGAGAGAGATGAGATGGATTCAGTTAATCTAATTTGAAGTGTGTGAAAGTGGTATAACACTAACCTAAAATCATCATAAACTCTTCCCCCAAAATACCCAAAAGAACCCTTACTTAAATGGGTGTTTTTGTGAAGTTAAATTAACTTAAGAACGATGCGGACGAATCTGGGAAGTGGATGCCCGACGCTGGGCCAATTCCAATTCTTTTTTTAAAATTTGGGTCAAGGAAGTGAACCTTGTGGAGGCCCCGTGTTGCGATGAAAAATTTTCCTAGCCCGTGTTGTCTGCGCGACACGCAAGGGGACTCTATAACTTGTCTTTCGCAAGCTGATTTGGCAGCTTGCTCGCCAATATTTGGGTCCTCCCCAAGGACTCTTCTGGTGGTCCTTGGATGTCGTTGCTGGAATTTTTGACCCTTTGTACTATATTTTACCTATTTTGAATCTTTTGAAAAGTTTTATAGTTCATTTGAAACTCCCAATCCTTCACCAAACATAGGGACGTCTACTAGTTCAATTTAGCTAGTTTCCGGATGTCAAGGTCTTTCTTTGTCGTTTGGGTCTAACCTTTTCTAATTGAGTTTAATACATTAATATAGGTCTTGAAACATCATTTTAAATATTATTTAATAGGAAAAGCTCTAGTCTAAGTCATGGAACTTCCACAGTGTTACATAGTACATCACAAACCACATCAAATCCCAAGGTAATTGAACTAATACGTACGAATAAGTAGAACCCAGATCACACAAAATAATAGTCATTAGGAAATAGACAAGAGTAGCACTAGTTAACACTACATCACACCTCAAACTAGACTTTGCTTGGGAAATCATATAACTCAGCCCTGTCATCTTCACGGGCACTTCTTGACTAGAAACACTACTCCTCTGCCAGCATCACCATTTCCCCGGCCTCTAGGACTTACTGATTACCACCTCGTATGCCCCAGTTTCCACAGTTTTAACAAATTCTGTAACTTATATTTGATTGTTGAACACTAAATTAGATCGCAGGGTTAGTTCGGGTACGATTCAGGTTCCATGATATTGACTAGGGGAAAACATGCAGACAAATTTGATATTTTCTCTCACTTTAGCAGGAGAAATCCCACACTTTCCTAGCCTGGCGGGGGAAATCCCGCCTCAGTGGCCCTTACAAAAACACAAACTTTGCCAACAATTTTTGGGGTTCCTATCTTCTCTATATTTCTCCTTGATTTCCCGACTATAACCTGAAATATAAGAAAGTCCATTTAGCTAGGACAATCTTTTTCTATCTTCCGTTTAACCCAACGAAGCACAAACATTGGAATTCCTTTTACATTATTTCAACACTACCATGCACATATCCCTAGGATATACCCAGATTTTCACGCGGTTATAAGTTGGTTGCAACACACTTCCAGATTTCTCGCTTACTAACCACACATAATTTATCTTGAGCGTTGCACCTAATCTTGTGACGACTTCCCTTTCATAAAAAGTTTCATGTTACCCAAGTAGTTACAACTTATAAACAAGTCCAAAATATTTAATTAGTTTATTCCATAGACAACTAGTACCGATCATCTATGCCTTATACGTTCACTAAGGCCAAGTACCAATTGGAACCTTCTCAGTTCGTAACTTGATTGTGTCCCTTCAGCTGGGACTACGACACCTAGTTCATTTCGTTGAGATAACAATTGGATTCTGGAGATGGCAATTGGAATCAACTCATACAACAAGCGACAATAGTAGTTAACGATCCCTAGAAAATTTCTAATTTCAACCATTAAACTTGGTCAAACCCAGTTCTCAAGTGCCTCGATCTTTAACTAATGGTACCCAACCCTTAATCAATCTTTAGGGAAAATAGATGCACCTTGCAATTGGTCAAAAATGTCATCTATCCGAGGCAATAGATACTTTTTCTAAATGGTGACCCTATTTAACATTCGATAGTCTATGCACATCTTCTCTTGCTAGTGATGGTGTTACCACTTTTGTTGCTGTAGTTCGGACTATAGACTGAAGGAGGAAAGATACCAATTGGATTCAAGTCATAGAACGAAAGAGTAGAAAGAATTGAAT